AAACATAACAAATTAGTTAAAAATAAATGAACCATTGTATTTTATTTATTAAACCAAGTATAGATTTCATTAAAAATTAAAAATATAACACAGAAACCAACCCAACCAAGCAAGATAGTTTTTCATCGAATCCCATTTGATGATTACTTCGATTTTTAAGTGCAAATCAGTTATGGCAGTAAATCATAATTCCCTCGAGGCAATTATCCCCCTTTCCAATACTTCACCCCCTCTGATTTCACTTCTCCATGTGGAGACATATTTTTCGCGACGCCCACACAAGGATCGCCGTACTTTTTGAGTCCGCACAAAAACATCGGGCCAAAATCGCAAAACGAGGCAACAACAAGGCGGCGATGACGCCCCTCTAGGGACAATATTTATAACTTTTCTGGCGCGTCTCAATTCATTTGGGCCCCCCCCTACTCCGCCCCGCTCTGCTTCTTTCTCCGATTTTTGCCAGAGTGTCTGCCACCTACGTAAGCGTATAATTCGTTTAGCGTCAAAAGGCAGCTCCGCTCGCAACAAAAACAGCGAACGCAAACGTAATCAGTCACTTTAACACCCAGCAGCCGCCACTTACACACCGTCGAAAGAGATGGCCTTATGCGTGCTAGATAGAGAGGGCCGCAGAAGTGCGTGAGCGTCGAGAAAGAGACGGGGCATATATGTTTTGGGGGGAGGGGGCAGCAGAAGACTGGGGGACTTGGAAGACTGGAAGACCCGGAGACTGCGTCTGTCATGGTCGATATTGCGTTGACACCAAATTTGCATTAAAATGCAATTGTGAACGCAGATCTTGCGACGCGTCTCGTCTCTCGTCTCGTCTCGCATTTGGATCGGATCGGTTTGGTTCGGTTCGGTATGGCACACTGCGAGAAATAGTACAATTTACAGTCCAGATAAAATAACTATCCATACACATGTAAATATAGAGGCTTAACCGAGTATCCAAACAAACACCAGTACTTTTCACATAAAAATATATAATTCTTTAATTACATATACATTTTTATCATCATTAGTTTCAACATTGGGATCGGTTTAGTTTGGTTCAGTTTTAAATACAACGAATTCTGCAAATTCACAAAATAATCTAGATAAAATAACTATTTATAAAATAAATACAAATAAACATATGAGTAACAGAATTTCTATGCAAACATGAGTAATAATCAAGCTTCATTCTTGGTTTCACGAAATAAATAAACATAGAATTTCGATGGAATTAGTTTGATTTGGCACACTGCCAGAAATAGAATGATTCATGTATAACCACAAAAAAATAATGAATTTTAATCATCGTTTTCCACTTAAATCAACTATCAAGATAATGTAAAAAAAAGCAAGTACTTATCAAGATGTAATGAATAATAAAAAAATGCATTGGAAATCAAATCAATGGACAAAATAAAATTATATTGGAATGCCACAAATTTAATTATACTTTTATAAGTCATGTTATGAAGCAGCTCGTTATATTTTCAATATAAGTTATTTCAAAGTTTCTCGCAGTGCTTTTTCCTGGGTTGTGGGTAATGCATCTTTAGTGTCTATTGAGCAGGACATTAGTCACGTGGCTGGTCGTGGGCAAAATGCGACAGACACAACGCCGCGAAATATCAATTAAATCGCAGAAAATAGAAAGTGAATTCTTTTCAGCAGTCAGCCCCGCTTTGATCTTGCCTGGTTTACGATCTTCGGGGAATCGCGGATCGGTTCGGAATCTGAATCTGGATAGGGATCGGGATCGGAATGGAAAAGGGGGGAAATCCTCTCTGACTGACTTGCAACACCAATTAAAAATAGTTTTGACACATCGCAAAGTCGCGCCATCGGGGCAATAAATTAATTACGAAATTGTCCAGGGAGAAATAAAGATGGAAAAGAAAGCCCTGGAGATGAACTGAATTGCGTTTGGAGGTTTCCAGATTTTATGGCCAAGGCTCTACGCGAATCGCGAAAAGGTGGGCGTGTGTGCGTGTGTGCTCTCCAAACTCTGAAAAATCAGAAAAACTGCCAGCTTGTGTGTGGGCGTCTCTCCGTCTTTCCCCACCGTCTTCCCGATCCCCCATCGCACCCATTCCCTTTTCTCAGGTCTTTAACACAATCCAGGAATTCAATTTTTGCACAGAGAAAAAATGTAATGGCTTTGTGTGATGTCCAAATCTTGATTTTTTATTTTATTATATATTTATAATCTTTAGGGATTAAACATCATTACATGGGAAGGCTAACGAAATTGTTCAAACGTAGATACAAATATTTAACATATTTTAAAACAAAACAAAGGATTTTGATTTTATTTTATTAAATCACCTCTTCAGTGTTAAATATAGATTACCAAGTCTTATAAACTAACAAATGCCAAAATTATAATATTATAATATATTTTGATATTTGTAACTATCTGTTGTTAGTTGATATAACTTTTTTTTGTCTGGACAATGGCCCTATCTTTGGTGATAGTTAAACCAGGGGGCAGTCAGACTTTCTCCCCTTTTCCCGCAGCCATAAACCCCTTTTCGCTGATGATCTTGCAGGCTCTTGAGGGTTTTTTATGGAGTGTTTGCTAGCCTGTTGTTGGCAGACAACTCAGCCACTAGGCTTGAAAGTTAAGGCAGCAGATCAAGACGGGAAAAGCTTGTGCTTCCTTTTCGCCGGGGTTCCCCTTTTAACCCCCTGTTGCCGCAAGTACCAGCGAAAATTCAACCTGCTGCCGCTTTCAATTATTCACACATCATCAATGGGCCAGGGCAAATACATATATAAACATAAATATACTGACTTGGCCGCAAGCGTTTCTTGGCCACATTTCATTGTCTGCCATCTGCCAGGCGACCTTAACCCTCCGCTGGCCCCTCCTTAACCCTCCGTTTCCACCGTCCTTAACCCAACATCGCCGCTTGGCGAACGTGTCTGCATATTGTTTCGTTCATGTCAAATTATTGACCCGCGCCAGGCATTTTGAAATGTTTATGCGTTTTCATGACTGAGATGTGCAATTGATAAATCCCCAACTGGAAATTATGAATATGCAACGTGCCGGAGTGAATCTTTCTCAGTGCCAAGCTCCCAGCTTCCAACTTCTTCAGACCCTGGAATCCCAGTCCCAGGGAATCTTGGGGAGCCACCCGCTGACTTTTGTGCCAGGTCGGTAGCCATCGCTAGACACGGTCTACGTTTATGCGGAGGGAGAAATGGGGAATTAAAGTGAAGGTTTATAAAACCATACAACAATAAGATGTTTTCTTTATTTATTTCTTTAAAACTCACAATTTTAGTTTTACTGATTTTATTTGTTTTCCCCAAAACTTTAAGGTTATATAAATAAAATTATTAATATAATAGAAAACAAACAACAATCAGAAACTCAGAATAACCTATTTGACAATTTGGAAATTTCATCTAAAATATTTTATGAAAACATCAAACAATGTAAATGTGGCAATGATGGTAAACCAAAAAAAAAAAAAAAAATGGCATAAACCCATTTGTTAGCCAGCATCAGCTCGTCATCATAAAGCAAACAGTGAGCGCAAAAAAATGTGTCTCGCATGGTGTGTCAAACCTTTGCATCTTTGGATCCCACTGTGCCCCCTGGCCATTTGTTTGTTATCAGCAACAAGCGATCAATACAGCAGCAATCAATATGGTCAATAAAGTTCAGGCTCGACTTTGGGTGGGGAAGTGGGGATCGGGGTAAGTGGAGTGTTGGGGGGATTCCTGAAAGAGGGGATCTTAGCTTTTGGGACCCCAGAGAGAAGTTTTTGTCCGCCTGGAGATGCGATGGCAAACAAGGCGACGTGATGTACAGCGCTGAAACCCAAGAAGCCTGGCTCACAGATCACACTGTGTGTTGCATATGGAAATGGTTAAGATTCAGGGGGTTGAGGGGGCCCAGAGGGGCTGTGTCGGTGGAGGGGAGAGGGGGAGTGGGGAAGACAGCGGGACACTGGGACATTGGGCGTCCCGTCACCGGCTCTTGTTGTCACTGTTGTTGTCGCTTGATCGCAAATTTGCCATGGCAAGCTTGACAACTTGCAACGAGCGAGCAAAACTACACAGAAAAGAATTATGTTGTGTTTTCCATACAATTAAACCATAGTGACATTCAAATTAAGAAATTTCCATCAAAAAATATTTGTCTATTTTTGCATAGAACATTTGTATTTCGAGTTACCAGATTGACATGCAATAGAAATCTAAAAAAGAACTCTTAAAAAAAAAAAGTAAAAAAGATAATTACAATACAAAAAAATATAATAATTCATCATCAATTTTAAGCATTTAAAATTCACAATTTTACAAAAATGTACACAACAAATTTCTTAATATTGTTGGCACACAACTGTGTGAAATATTTTCGGAACTATAAAATTTACGAGTATCAAACTTACTATCTTTGGTTATGTTTTTTTTTGTCAGTGTCGCTGGTCGGCAATCTGGCAAGCAGAAAAGCAGCGAATCAAAGAAGCAAGGTAGCAAATGCAGTCGCAAAGCCGGCACCTTAAAATAATGTTACAAAACTTTTTTTGGCATGTAGCTAAGTACGGCCCTGTAACCAATTCGAAGCAACGCCATGCCAGACCCAAGAGCCCCGATCCCGATCTCCGATCCTCGAACCTCGATCCTCGATCCCCGATCCTCCATCCTCGCTCCTCGGCAACAACAAATTGGAGATCACGGTTTTCATGTACTACATGCAAATTCATTGCTACTGTTGCTCCCTGCGATCGCAGTTGCCAGAAACTCGGGAACTCAGATGCACTGGAGCTCTGAAGCTCTGGGGCTACTGTATCCATAACCATAAAGCCAAGCCAGTAGCAGCCGGAAGAGCAGCGAGTTAAATAAACAATTCCGAAACAACCAACTTGCTGGAGGACTTGCAAACTGGCTGACCAAAACCGAAATTCAACCGAGAGTCATTCACAAAAGAAGCTGCTGCAGGGGAATTAATACGCTACGCACTGGGTTTTGGGTTTATATATTTTACTTACCTTTAATATACAAATCTCTTAAGGTTTTCCATTTAAGCAGTAAGGAATGTCAGAAATACGTTATATAGTTCTTATAATCGTCAAGTTGGCAATACTGAAGATAAAGTGTAATGGAAATTAAATTAAATATTTATTAAATTTTTAATTTACAATTCAAAAACTAAAATAATTGAAATAATATGATATAAAATATAAGTAAAACCTCCCTTACTTGTTAATCAGCTTAAAAAACAAAAGAACAAAATATTTTCTTCTGAAGACTAATATGTAGTTTCTTTCATGAATGACTTTGCCTTTAAATTCATGTACCCTGCGAAAGCATGCGTAGTTCCATGTGCATTATGCAAAGTAGATAAAACTGTTTGATCGGCCTGTTCAACTATCGAGTATTCGTCGCCTTTTTTTTTGTTTGTCCAGGGACAGGAAATCGTAGACGCCTTCTACAAACCCATTATCCTTACCCTTTTCCCTCACAAAAAAAAACCCCGTAACAAAGCACGTGGCGTCTGCGAATCTGACAACGGACAACTCAGAAAACTTAGGGAACCAGGAGAGATCTTGTTGCAGGACCAGAAACCAGGAGCTGCAAAATCTCAGACAGAAACGAGTCTGTGCCACAAGTGGCGCCATCGTATAGATGGCATTTCTAACACCCCAACTCCGAGTACTTCGAATTGTGGAATTGCGACCCAATTGAACACTTGGAAGCGATAGCCTTGGCGACACATTTCGCTGGAATTTTTGCACTAGAACCCCGATCGTATCGGATTTCAGAGACGCGTCTATTAGGCACCCACCACGGATCGATTTTGGAGCACTTGCAGTAATGTAAACACTTGCACTCTGGTTACACATTCGCGACTTTAACGGCGACGGGAAACTTGTTGTTCCATTTCTATCCAGGCATCGACTGATGAAAGCTCACTGCGAACTGATATTGAAAACAGTTTACTGAACTTCTTGAAGGAATCGACTTACGATCGACCACTATCGATATTATCACTTGAAAGACGGGGAATGAGCTTTAAGTTATCGATTTTGGATTTAAATACAAATATTTAAATATTAAACTACGGCAGAGTATTTATGTGGATAATCGGAACCATTAACCCGTATGTTATTAAATATACAATAAAAAATTAAACCATTAACTTTTAGAGGGATGCCATTATTAAATCGAAATACGATTGATCAAGTTATGGGATTCGAATTAATTGCTATTTACGATAATTCGAAATGGACTCTTCGCAAGCGAATCCACGAGAAATGAAAATACTTGCCTAATAAGACAGATACAATTTGGCACTTTAATTTATTAATTCATGGTCAAAAATGTGCCTTTGGCAAATGGTTATAGTTATGGTTGCAAAATTTAAGATGATATCAGGAGTCGTCCAAAGATGAAATTAAATATTTGAAGCACGTCTATCCTGAATGTGACGAAAAACCAAAATAAAAATACAGCCAGGCGATCAATTAGCCCCTTACTCAACACCTAATTGTGGCTATGTTCCTCGCGGAATTCCCCGAAGAGGGTCAGATCGCCGGGGGTCACCGTTTGGGTCACCTTTTGGGCCCGGGTCAAACCCCTTTTCCCAGCGATTTGCATGCCATTCGCTGTTGTTTACACTCTCCGGAAACGCGGGCCGAGAAATTTGTAACAGAATCGGGGGACAAAGGCCGAAAAATCAACAGAAAACAATCCAAACATTTCCTGTGGTCTCGTCTCAGGTAGCGCTCTCATGAGATTGGCCTTAAAAATTATTTATATTTTTTGTTAGAAAATCAAACAATTAACCTCGAACTTGCTGTTGCCGCCAGTGCGGCTCTGCGCTTACAACATGTTTGAGACATAAAAATTTCCAATTAATTTTTTCACCGGCTTGTTTCTTTTTTTGTTTTAGTGGCTAAGCAACTTCCACGGAATGGAATGAACGACAAAAAAAAAAAAAAAAAAAATTGTCACAGCCGCCGTTTACAAATAATTTTTGTGGCTGCTCGTTTTTTCGGCTCTTTGGGGTTTTCAATGGAAACGAAACACATAAAACATGGCCAAACAAGACCGGACAAACGGAGGAGCGGACCAGCGTACAGACTGACGGAATGACAGTCGAAGCGACCGGAATGCCATAAAAAATAAAATATAATAAAAAGTCAAACACTCGAGGAGAGCCACTGTCGAACGGTAGCAATTAAAAGTTTGCTCCGATTGACCCCTTCTGACCCGTCAATAAAACATATATTTTGTATACTCTGCATTGGTAGGTCTAGTGAAATCCAAAGTTCCCTTTTTTTTTGGCGAATTCTTAATAGGTGCTGGGCAAAAGAAGGAGAGCAATATTAGGGGAATTATAAATAGGAAATAAAAAAAGAAAAATAGGAAAAACAACATTAAAGAATAATTTAGAACTTAAATGTCTCCGTTCCATAAGTTTTTCGTATATAACGTTTTTAATCATTCTATAATCTTTATAAATACGTGTTGAAAATTATGTGAAAAACTAAGTTACGAAAAAATTGATCTCAAGACCACCCATCAAATCTTAGATCCCTACGTACAATTAAATTCTTACCCTAGACCACTTAAAATCTGGGGCTCTACTTATCATCTATTAAGTTTAATCATAAAGTTCGATTACAGACAGTCCACCATAGATTTCCAATTGATTTTCATTAGTTTCGAGGGCATTATGTGCCACTATCGCCCCCCTCAATGCGAATTAACCCACATGTTGGCCATGTGTGTTGATGATGGCGATGACAAAAGTTCATTAGCGCTGCCTCAGTGGGTTAAGCAGTGGACACTCCAGTAGAAAAACCACATCCGGTGCGGGGGTGGCTCTTGATTTTCTGGGCGCCTGCTGGGCTTTATGGCTAATAAATATTGGATCATAAATTCATATTTAATGTTGTGCTCGAAGCAAAGCAAAGGAAAACTCACATGTGACGGGGGAAGGGAGCCCAAGAAGAACAGAATCCCCAAAGACTAGACCCGCCATTTAACCCATTCCCGAGGCAAGGACAGAAATGTGTAGATGTAATTTAAGCAAATATTTTAATTGTTTTCGGTCCCGGAGCATTTCATTGTCATTGCTGTTGCCGTTGAGACGGCACCTGAAAATACTCACATGTGGCGGCGAATTTCGGGCGCGTCTTGGCAATATGGGCATGGTAAAATTTTATCGCTTGGAAATTTTTCAATTTCCAAATGAAACGACTATGGATATGGAAATGAAGATTTAAGTACTGGCTCTTCTGCTGGCAACAAACAACACAAGAAATCTAGAAGTGAGGGGGTGAAGCGAAGGAATCAAAAGTCCACCCACCGACAGATGATGCCCCTTATTAAGGCTAACAACCCGCAACAAAACCGGCATGTCGAAGCCCTCAATCTTGAAAGGTTCTCTCTTTTCTCCTGGGTTGTAAAAAGGACATGTTCCACTTGAAAATAACAATTTCATTCAATTTTTGATCATTTGCTACCAGAAATGGCAAATCAAAAAGCCATAAAAACCGACAAACGACCAAAACCGACAAAAAAAAAAAGTAAAACCCAAAAACCAAAAACGGACCAGGCGAGTGTCCCGTTTTGTCGTCCTGCCGTGTGTCGAAGTCCTTGCTCCTTAAGCGGTTGCTTGAGGGCGGGTTTTTCGCTCGACTTTTTGCCTACCCTCACCAAAAAGTTACTCTATTTTATGATGAGGTTTGTGGGAACAACGAAAAATTGTTTTTTTTTATTATATAATTTAACTATTTATGTTTAAGGAACTATTACGTTCTAGGTCATTTTAATTAGGGATTTGTATATATATAATTACTTACAAACAAAAGAGGAAAACATGTTTTTATTGTTAATGTAGGATAATGATTAATTTCTAATTCAATTTGTTTAATCATTAACTTTATTATTAAATTATTATTTATTTATTAAATAAATTTGTATTTATTGCATATTATTTATTACTTGCTTGCGTAATCTTACCAATTATCTGGAATTAAATCTAAATTAAATCTATTGGATATTTTTTTAACTAACATCTCTTATTTTATGCAGCCATAAAAAATATAATGATTATAATTTATTTATTTGCAAGGGCATTGCAAAATTCGATGTGAAAAATCACTTCCACCTTTTGGCTCTTATGTTTTCTTTTTCAACTGCCTTGTGGAATCGGTGGGTGGATAGGTGGATGGGCGGGGGTCAGGGTCGCTGGGTCGTCGCTCGTTTGGTTTTAAAATTGAAATGATACACACACACCCGCAGCCGGTCCACTTGCACTTGTGATTGAGTTTTCCGCCCCCGCACTTTTCCCCCATGATTTTTTTTTTGGGCGATGGCCAGGCAAATCCTGCACGCAAAATTTATGTTGCATAAAATTTTTCAATGAATTTTATACCAGGAATTTGACTTGGCATCTTTGCGTTGGCTGTCTTCTTAAATTTTAAAACGACTTTTGTGCGCTGCACGTGGCATATGGAGCGTAAAGCATTCGGATTGGGTTTTTCCGCCACCCCCCAAAGGATTGGTCTATGTCCTGGGAAAGGAACAAGAGCCACCACCCAAAATGTTAAGAAGTTTTGAACGTATCGAATCGGGCGACTAGAACAGGTCAGTTGTGAAAGGGAGGGGGCTGTATGAAGTCTAGCACCTATAAGTTACGCCTTCTCCTCCGATTTTAACTGCTGATCATGTAACAAAATTAATGTCTACAAAATGCAAAAACTTAGTCAGGTGGAAAAGAGCAGGCATGAAGAAGTTTTCCACTGGAATAATACTAGTTTGAGAATTAATAAATAGTGTTTTTAAAAATATACAAATTGCAAAACAGCAATAGACAATCATAAACATTTTTTATGATTAAAAGAGGCTTTTGAGGATTTTAATTAAATGACTTGCTAAACAATAAGACTACAAATTGTATTGACATTCATTCATTAATTGTTAAAATAGTGAATATATTCTTTATCTCCCCAAAAGTGTGTAATTAAGAGTGGGTAGTTATTTTCTCAAGTGCACCTGTGGGTGCAGCCACAGTGTTGCGATGTCGCTCCTACAATTATTGCCTTTCGCTGTTTAACAAAGCCACCACAAGTGGCCATCCTTGAGGACTTGTCCCAATGCTCCTCCTTCGGGAATCCAACACCGCAACACCCTCCCTGCAACTTGTAACGAATTTGTCGCTGTCCATTTGCCAGTTATTTTGTTGTTGGCCAGAAGGTGTGAACACCAACAACAACAGCGGTCTAAATTTAGAACCAACAATGCAGACAAAGGTGCATCCATGAGATAAATCAAAATTTGATGCAGCCAAAAACACGAAAACCGGGGACCACCAGCGTCAGATAAACAAGAGAGACCACAAATCGGGGCAGGGGTGTATATATCTTAAGGGGCGGGGGTTAGGTTAGCCTAAACCCAGATCGATTTCCGAGCCCGTAACTCATTTGTTGGTCCAAAAACACAGCCACTAGGCAGATTGAAGACCGAACAAATCTCAAAGCACTGCCCATCGATATAAAATCGATTTGCCAGAGATTTCCAAATAATTTGTTCTAAACGTTCGCTCTTGTCTTACACTTAGAAAAAAGTCACTAAGCCACCCCAATTACTTACAACGGAAGAACGTTTAACAAAATTATTGTTATATGCTTTTATTCCTTGCATTCCATGTTTTTATGTATAGGGGTTTTATATGTATTCCAATATTTGAAATTTCACTGAAAATTCATAGGCTTTCCAGAACAAACTATTATGATTAAAAACTATTTTATTAACTATATGAAGAACTTGATTTATGTAGAATGCTATTTTGTAGTTACATATTGTTTTATGATAATGAATTTAAATCATATTTTTAAGCTCGCAAAAATCTATTTTATTTCAAACTGTAAAAATAA